ATATATTTTTGTCAAATTTTTATGATATCGTCAAACATATATTTTATTCAAAAATAAAAACGTCATCGCTTTCTCAAAATCACATAAAGCCATATTATAATATCGACTGAGATAAAGAATAAAATGAAATATTAAACACACGATGTATCTCGCTGCATTGCGCGAGTACGCTTCTAGTTTATTTATAAATAAAAATCAAGAACCATCCAACGGCTCAAAAATATTCGCAAATTGTGTTGGTATCAGCATATTCCATATCTCACCGTAAACCCACCAAAACACGAATCTTCTTCTTCTTCCCCATGAAAATTTAGCACCTAATTACTCTCTCCCCTTCATCCCTTCTTCCTCCCCCAACCTCACTCTTGTTTATCCATTCCATTCTCAAACACAATGAGCTCTGATCAACCGATTCTTCGACTAAACTCCCCTAATTTCCACCGATCCTGATTATCTCAATCGGTAAGCTTTCCGTTTAATCTGCAATCGTCGCTATATATCGGCTTGGTTTGTTGATTCTTCCTTTTTGTTGTTGTTGAAATTTGAAGTAGATTATCAATTTAGATCTTTTTTATTGCATCTGAATGCGATCATTTTTGAGTGAGAAGAGGGGATCTATGAGTTTTTTTTTATATATCTAGGTTTTTTTTTCTTCCGGAAAGTGAATAACAAGTGGGGTTCTGGTAATATTCCGCAAGTTGCTTTCTTTTTTTCACTTATTCACAATCTACTGTTTTTTGTTCGTACTCCATGGGTCCGTCCGGAATAGCTGAACTGCTTTTGGATGTCAAAACCACTACTTGTTGAGTTGTTGCAATTTGATTAAACATTATCTTATTTCTAGTGCTTGCGATAGAAAGTTTAGCATAGATGGAATTGTTTTGATGAAAAGTTTTGAATGCTAATTGAAGTTGCAAAGCAATCTGTTTGACATCATAAGTCAAATTTTAGCTCTTTTTCTAGAATGAGGGATTATGATCTTCTTCCTTTTTGAGCTTTGAGACTATTCTGAGGGTCATCCTTTTGTTTGGTGATACAGGTTTTATTGATTAAGTTTTGCTAGTATTGCAGTTTTAGACATGATTTTGGACAATGCAATATTGTTTAGTTCTAATCTTTTCATCAAAACTTTGATTTTTACTCATGTAATGAACTGAAAACAAAATTTAACATTTACTCTTTTACATACCTGCATTTTGGTTTTACTTCCATGATCTATTTTACGTATAATGAAGACTTGGCTTCTTTTGCTATGAAAAGACTTGGAAAAAATAGTATAAGAACGTTGTCCGATGTATTCTGATTGATTTTTATTAATAAAAGCGAAGCACTTAATAGGTTTACAGATGACCAAACTAATTGAAGTTTATAAAACGAGAGCTTTTTCTACTTTAACAGTGAAAGCACATAAATTACATAATATTGATGGTTGTTTGGTTAGAGTGTTGCTAATTTGACTTCAGTTGTCTTTCCATTCTCCTTCTTGGATAGTCAAATTTCATCTGCTGATTCATTAACTCTGAATTAATGATGTATAAATCTCAGGAACAGTATCCCATTTACTTGGAGAGTCGGTACAAGAAGCATTTCTTGGTGCATTTTGTCCATACAGTAAGAGTGAAGAATTGTGGGGGATCTACCTTGTGAATTGTCAAGTACTGCTTCGTGCTTATCATCTTGTTCAATTATACAAACTTGGATCTGATGCAAGGTCAAAGGAGTATCTTTGATCCTTTCCCCGAGGTCGTCGATCTTAACCAGGGGTCCAATTCCAACAGTACTAGTATGGATGAGGCTGATGATTGGAATATGTTATCTCCAATGGAAAGACGGTTGTTAAATAATGATATTTCCAGCGAGCTGAATTTCAGTTGTGTTAATACAAATGGTCATAACAGTTTTCGAAGTTTTAGCAGCTGGGATGTCGGAGAATCAAGCTCTAGAGCAAATTTACAAGATCATGTTTCTAATGATGGCTTGAAAGGGGAACAAAATTGGTCCCCTTTAGGTACCCACGATTCAAGATTAGAAGAACAACAACCTGGATCATCAACAATTCATCCACATGATAGTATTGTTGGTGGTCAAGCTGCTATTGGACCATCAAATATGCAGAGTTCTGTTTCCAATCATATTCCCATGAATGTAAATTTAAACGTTGGATATGGGGATACTAATGTTGATGATGATGGTATGGAATTTATGGATCTTTACAAGTCTGGTAGACCAGAAACAGAGGCCAGTGCTTCATCTGCTGGTATTGGGACTTCTGATTGTGGGCCTGGCTCATCTTTGGGTAGTTGGGGTCTATCTTGTAAAAGAAAATCCCTAGAAGGTACATCGGGGCAGTCCCTCACTGGTGGGAGTTCAAGTTGCTTTCCGCAAGCTGAGGATATTGCCAGGCGCACTGTTCCCATCTGTTACAATGCTTCTAGCAGCTTAACTATATCTTCAGCTCTAGTCAACCCTGTGTCAGTTAACCGCCATGAACAGCCAAACACAAGACTTGGAGCTGGCATGAGGGGAGTAGTAGCTTCGGATGCCTTTCCTTCTTCGAGTGTCACAGGAGTCCCAGAAAGCTCACATACACATTTTGGCATGAGAGGCTCTGTTCCTTATAATATGTCATCAACTGGAAACCCTACGAGGCGTCCAAATATTAGCTCATCTCACCAACCATCTAATAGACAAATTTTGCTTAATGAGTTTTTGGATCAAACATCTAGAGGACCAATTGTGATACCGGCCAATTCAAGTAATCCTTCAAACCAGCAACCCCCTCTAATGCATGTTCCAAGTATGCCAAGAAATGCACATCATTTCCCTTGGGGTAGTAATATTGGTTCAAGAAGTGGCAGTTCATCAAGTTCTGCGGCACTTCCTCTAGAAAGAGGTTCCGAAGCAAACTTTAGAAGCTTGCTAAGAAACAATGTGCAGTATCATAATTTTGTTCCATCATCTGAGACCAGGAATTTGGTGCAAGATCCTACTAATTGGAGCTTAGCTACGGGAAGTGCAAACACTAATGGAGGTGGCGCCCCATCTAGTTCCAGAAATGGTACTGGTTCTGGTGGTTCTCGCTCTTTTAATGCTGTCTGGACACCTCAGCATAACCCAACAACTCAAAGTCAGCAAAGATTACCTGAATTTTCTCCTTGGACTCTTTTCCCATCTGCTGAGGCTGAGTCTGGAAACCAGAGAGGTTATTTTTCATCATTTCCTGCAGGCTCTTCTTCTACCTCAGAGGATAATCATATCACATCTGGAATTTCTAGCCAGAGACATCATCATCAACCTTTTTCAAGGTCCGCATTATTGATGGAGGTACCTGGCGATGATTGGCGTGCTTTAGCTGCTGATATTGAGGGAAGACAAAGGCTGGTATCTGAGGTTTGTGCTCCTTATGTCCAATTTTCACAAGCTATATTCTCAGGGCATGTGATCTATACATTTCTTTACTTTTTGATTTGATGCAGAAACTTTGTTTAGAGCATTCTAATGTTGATGAAACCCTCCAGCAAACTAGATGCACACCTAACATGTTTATGTGATACTACATCCAAAATTCTTCACATACACATGGGCTTCTGAGAACATGTACTTGAGAGTTGAGACACTCCCAAAACCAGTTCAGGACATTTTAGAGTTGATCATCATTTTCCTATGGCACAACATATATTACTTTTCATCTTCATCAGATTTATTGGTTTAGTTAGTATTTTGGAAATTGTGTACTTAAGAAGAAATTTTAGTATCATTCTTATATGCCAGGTAGTTTAAGCTGTAGCTAAACCAAATGAACCCTATAAATCCCACTCGAAAGTAGGGTCTTTGTGGGGAGGGGGAGATGTAGGCAACCCTGAACTCTACCGCAAAGAGTAGAGCGGTTGTTTACGTGAAGACCCCTCCCCCCCTCCCCCCAAAGCCCTGGGCGGGGGGATTGTGCAAGAGTATGAGCTAACAGGTAGCAGGAATAAAGGTTAGCATATGGTGAACAAAGCACGAGAAGAGTGAGAATGAGTACTAAGAGATACATTGAATACATACAAAAGGTAAGGTAAGGCAATACAACACAGAGCAAGTACGGCAAAAACACATCCCTGGACTAAACTGCCAGCCCAATTCCCTCTTACTAACCATTCCAACTCCCTTCTGGCCGACTCTGCTATAGGTCCCCATTCCTAGTCTTTTACTCTAATCCTCCATCTCCAAGTTTAAGCAGTAGCTGGTACCTTTAATTTATCATGACTCTGTAGCTACTTTGTAAACATTAAAAATGTGTTGTATTCTTCAATTCGGTGTTTCTAGGTGGTGTTTTGCTCTATTAATGAGATGATGGCAATGATCTTGTTCTGGTACACCCTAGTCACTTCCATGTCTCTATTGGATTTTAATTCACTAAGCAGCTTCTTTCTTGGTGAACTACATAAATCAGGAATCCCTACTGTGTAATTAGGAGCTCTGTGTGAAATTATACTGTATAACACGACAAAGTGTGGGATTTGGAAATCTTGTTCTGATAGTGATATGAGCATTGTGAGACGTGTAAATGGAAGTACGGTGAAGCCATGGCCAGCTGTGATTATGGCATTCTGTGTGTGCAGTATCGAACTTAAAAGCATGTAGCCGTACTTTCATAGGGATGATGACTCCGCTATGTCATGTGGTATTTTGTGGATGATGGAAGCCAAAAATTGTAAGGAGTAAAGACAATTACCTGTGTATATGTGTGTGCATGTGGTTGTGCGAGCAGGCCAGTGAACGCGTGTATCCTCTCATAGATGATGGCAAGAGTGTGCCTGTTGTTTCCTCTCAATCGTACACCATCTTTAATCCTCAACCATTATGGAGAAAGCGCTATATTGGAAAAGGATTTCTCCCAATAAAAATTTGAAAGCTTGGTGAAAACTTGCAAAACATAACAAGTTCCTACCCAGGCATGTGTTTCACACAGAGAACACTGATTTTTGAGAGAGATTTCCATGTGGACTGGAAAAATCAGTTACTTCGCTGTTTAGGTTATGCATGTATAAGCTTCTACTTTACCTCAAATCTAGTTATGAAACCTTAATATATTACCGACATCTTTATCTTCAAAGTATTTKAATGGATAACCTCATTTGTTCTCCAATCCATAACAGAATGCCAAATAATTGACCAGTAATTATGAAAAAATGTCATACACTATTAAGGTACACAATCAAACCCAAAGATCATTCATCTTCGCTTTTGTGGATGCTTAGAAAAGGTCACATTGAACTTCACTTGTTTAATATGCTTTTTGTTGCGAGTTTCTTTATATTGTACGTACGTTCTTATAGAAAACTAGTTAGTGAGTGCGAGATTACCGAAATAAAGAAAGTCAGAGATCTAATTAGAATCCATTGACAACAATGATACTTCTTGCCCAAAAACAATTTCCCTATAATGCACGTTTGCATTTTTGCTTCTATGAACGTGTATGAACTTAGTGTGAAGTTGTCTGACATGTTCCTTAAAGTTGAAGTAGCCTCTTTAGAATTTCTTCAAGAGGAAGCTTGTTTTTGTAGCTTATGTTACGAGATTGTTGATCAATTGAGTTTCAATATCCGATATGAAAGCAATATATTAGTTCATTTCCATTGTAGTAAATGTGACTAGGAAATGTAATTTTGGATCATGAAAGTAGCACTACATAAAGAAGTTGTAACAATCAAGGATATCATACTCTTCTAGGAAGTACCAAAATGCAATTTGCAACAAGAGTTGTAACTTCTGAAAATTGCCTAAAAAGAATTTGAATTAAAGAACTATAGAAGATCTGAAATTTGTTTTTATACATTCCCTCAATGTTGTTTCCTTTTTTGGGACGTAGCGGGAAGATTGCAACATTTACTTGTTTGGAAAAAAATCAAGTTAAGGTTGCCTATTTGCCCATTAAATCATAAAAATAAATCGATGACATGATTTGGGTACCATAATTCTTTTATTTGTCTTCAATGGCGAGTATTCTAGATATTGAACAAATAGTCACACATTTAGTTTGAACCATATTCTAATTCAAACTCTAGCAAGATAAATGTGATATCTGCATTTTCTTGTATGCACCTTCTCATACAGTATCTGGCCTATGTTTCTTTACACTTTATTTATGTTTTCAGTACCTGGAGAGTCAGGTAGTTTTACTTTATGATAACTTATTGATTGCGGTGCATTTCTGGATTTAAGGTCTTCTTTCATATTCATGAACTTGTATCGAGTCCTATTCACAAATAAGATATTATTTTGTAATTATCTCATTTAGTTTTCTCTACATTTTCTTTATTTTTTGATCTACTTGAAGTTTGTCAAATTCATGAAATTCTGTTTTGTCTTTGCAACAGATCCGACAAGTGTTAAATGCAATGCGAAGGGGAGAAAACTTACGAGCCGAGGTTTGATGTTGTCTTCCATGGCATTTTGTTGTTCTTTCTCTTATTATTCGTACTTGCTAAGTAAATGCAAATAAGAAAGCTAAATTTACATAACCTAAATAGGTTATGAAATCTATCATTATTTCTACTTAGAATTAAATGCAAATCTATCTTTACTTAATTTCCCAACATCCCACAAGAGAAGTCCATAATTGATCCCGTAAAGGAAAAAATTGATGTCCATAAAACTTTAAGATTAGATAAATAGTCTTTATGTTTAGTCCACTTAATCATGTTTAAAGATGATGAAATTTTTTGTCTTGAAATCCATCTATATTTAAAATGGGTCTTTTTGGGATAGATGGAGTATATAATTTGTATTAGTTGCCATTATTGCCCCTAAATTCCCCATCACACCACCTTCTAGTTTTTTATTTTTTTCCTCATTAGTTTTTTGTGGAATTGGAATTGGGAACCCAATCCTTCAACTGAAGATAGCATCAGACCAACTTCTAAGCTCATCATTCCTTGATTTCAATGCATGGTATTAAAATTTATAAGGTGGCATCTTGTAGTGATGGCAGAAAAATCTTTTCTGTTGTGCTCTGTTTTGGACATGGATATGGCCATACCCACAACCGCATCTGCTGATAATGGATATGAATTTGAATAGATATGTGGATTTTCTGATATCCATTAACAGCCATAGTGCACGAGGATCTATTTGTGAACGAAAACATCATACACAATAAACCCTTTGCCAGCAGCAATGCTATGAAACTATCTGATTTGATTATAACAAACGACTTGTGATATATGCCAGGACTATATGCTCTTTGATCCATTTATCAATGGGGTTGCTGAGCTGCATGACAGGCACCGAGATATGAGGCTAGATGTTGATAATATGTCTTATGAGGTGAAGATAAGCTTTAATTTTTAATTTTGTTTACCCATATTCATTCTATTGTTCAAATTTATATGTGTGTGCTCGTTACAGGAACTGCTAGCATTGGAAGAACGCATAGGAAATGTGAACACTGGGCTGAGTGAGGAAGTCATTTTGAAGTCGATGAGACAGAGAAAGCACATTGCTTTCATGGCGATTTCAACTCAAAATTTGGAGCCATGTTGCATATGTCAGGTGAGATCCATCTCAAACTGCTTAAAAGCATTTCGATATTGGTCGCATGTTTCTGTTTTGAGCTTTTCTTGCAAAGAATGCCATTCATCATTGCCAGCTGATGAACTCCTGTTTCTTTAAATGGAGAGATTGGTCGAAAGGAGCTCGTGGACCATATGATGGCAGGCATCAGGAGTCTTTTGAAATCAGGAAAATTCCATTGAAAGCTGATAGTTGTGCTATTGTGGTTTCACAAGTTTTCTATGTAATGTACAAAACAAACACATACCAAGGCTCAAGCCTTGCCATAAGTTGCTTAGTGTACCATATTAGTCTAACCCATCGAGGAATCTCACATGCACAAAATTAAGATATGCCCTTGATTTCTAATTTTATAGTTGTGAATTCATCTCTCCAGATTGTTAGAAGATACAAAATTACCTCTCCCCAAAGGGTATGCCAAAAGGACAGTTTCAAGTATTTAGGTTCCGTGATTCAAAAAGGAGTAGAGGTCGAGGAGGACGTAACACATCGCATAAAAGGTTGGTGGCTGAGGTGGAGAGATGCCGTAGTGGTGTTGTGTGACAAGAAGGTTCCACTGGAACTGTTGAGAAAATCCTATAGGGTTGTCATCAACCAACTATGTTGTATGGGTCGGAATGTTGGCGAATGGGAAGGCCGTTGAGAGGAAGTTCAAAGTTTCATATACGAGTATGCTTAGGTGGACCTGTAGTCGAACCATGTTTGACAGAATTCTGAATGAAGATTTTCAGTGCGGAGTTAGGAGTTGCCCCAATAACAAATAAATTGAGAAAGGGGAGATTGTGTTGGTTTGGGCATGTTTGTAGGAGACCGATGACAGAACTGGTGAGGAGAGTAGAAAGAGTGATGGCTGAGGGGATGGCTGAAGAGGACATGAGATGAGCGATTGAGGTTCTTCATGGTGGCCTTAAATATTTTCAAGGACATGACTACTGATAGGAGTACTTGGAGATAGAGGACTAGGGTAGTAGAGTAGGTATTGGGACCTATGTGCAGAAGGGAGTTGGAACATGTTGGAAGAAGGTAGGGGTAGGGGTAGGGGCAGAGAGGGCTGGCAGTTTAGGCTAGGATGTGTTCTTGCCTTACTTGGTCTATGTGCTACCTTTTGTATGCTTTCAATGTACCTATTCTTTACTTTTTCTTACTTATTTTTCTAGTTCTTCGTTCACCTGACTTCATTATATCCTAATCTTTGCTCATGCTCACACTCTTGCACAAGTTGGGGTCTTCACGGAAACAACCAAACGCTGGCGGGACCCTAATCTTTGAGTGGGATTAACTGGTCCATTTAGTTTGTGTTTGGTTTACAATATCACCTCTCCTAGATCAGATCCCCAATCTTGTATCCCTTTTTTTCATGGTCAACAATTTTGGCGGTACGGTCAATGCCATACCCCCCGAAGCATTTTGCTTTCGGATCTTCATGTTGCAGCATCTCGAGCCATCTTTTTCAAATTTCTTTCTTACTTGGGTTCTTGAATTGCAGGAAGAGTATGACACCGGAGACAACATCGGAAGCTTGGATTGTGGACATGATTTCCACACAGATTGCATCAAACAGTGGCTGGCACAGAAAAATATTTGCCCCATTTGCAAGATGACTGGTCTGGCTACTTGACCCTGAGCGCCATCGTAAGAAAAAAGTTCTTAAAGTTACAGAAAAGATTTGAATTTGATGTATGGTGTTGGCTGGCAGACATTTTGTTGTAGGTTTTTATTACATGTCCTTTTGCAGCTCTCTTGTTTTGTTGCTCTCAAAAAGGAGGGTTAAGGTGAGGTCATAAAGAGATTTGGTGTGTCCATTGATAAAATATCAAAGTATTTATGGAAAGTTTCCCTTTTTATCCTTTGGATGATTCAAATTTCAAAGCCTCTTCTTTCTTTCTGTTGCTTGCTTTCAGATGGGAGGGTTATCACAATGGTTTTTACGTTTTGAATTTTGTTGCATGGTTCTGGTGATGAGTTACACAATGGTTGAAGCTGGGCGGTAGGGACCGGTCTTGATTTGGCAGACTACGGACCGATGATGGACCGGTAGCTTGGACTGGAACAGTCTGACGATGTTATGGTTGGGTTCGGAACCGGTCAGGTCTAGACCGGAAGTCCTGGTTTTTTTGCCAACCTCTACTTGAAGCTGCTGACTTTATATACTCGATTTTTATTTATTTAGGGGAAATAGAGGTGAGAAATAGCAGTTCCGGTAATAACGGGCACTAATCACCGCAATTTTGGCTTGCAATAATAGTGTGAAAACCGCAATTAGGAGTTTGTGCTTTAAGTTGACGTTTTAAAGGGCTTAGAGAAGTCGATTAAGGGATTACGAGCTAGAGGGTTGATTTTCATTTGCAATATTGGTGTGTAAACTTGCCATTCCTCTCTCATCTTTTTTGTTCCGGTCTATATTTTGCATCTTCTCTTAAGAACAACATCGTCTTCCATCATTGATTGCTCATCTATTTTATTCACTTATTCTTATGTTCATCTTCAAAATATATATTTTTACAAATTAAATTTTTACAAAATAATTAACTCAGGTTACATAAGTTACCTGCGAATTTATTATTATTTTTAAATTAACGTCCATCGGAGATCCGTCGGGAAATAGTTAAAAATTAGAACTTATTATTTCAAATTTCCGACGGATACCGGTGGCCGCCGGTAAATTAAAATAATAAATTATTCAAGATTTTTAAAATTAAAAATTATTGATTTCCGACGAATTTCCAGCGGACAACTTTCCAACGGATTTTTTATATATATTTTTTCGTTTTTCATACTTTTGGTTTTATATATATGTAAAATATTGCATATATTCCACATGAAATGTATAGCGGATAATAATTCTCCTATCGAGTCCAACACACACACACATGTATGCAATACATACCGATATATAAACACATTATCCGATGTCATTGTTATTATTGGATTTTAAAAGTTTGATTTGGGTTTAACGGGTCTTAGTTGAGCCCAGTACACACCACATGCTCATATGTAATACATGTCTTCTCACAAACACGAAATATGCTCTAATGGATGTTAGTTGAGTTTTAATGGTTCTATTGTGCTTTTATGAATCTTATTGAGTTCTTACATGATTTATTAGGCTTTAATGAATTTATTGGGCTTTAATGGATTTATTGGGCTTCAATAGATGTTAGTTGGACTTTAACAGTTTTATTGGGCTTTAATGAATGTTAGTTAAGCTTTAATGGTCGTATTGGAATTCAGTGAATGTTAGTTGGACTTTAACGGTTCTATTGGGTTTTGAAAAATGTTAGTTGGGCTTTAACGATTCTATTGGGTTTCAATGGATGTTATTTGGACTTTAACGGTTCTATTGGCTTTAATGGATGTCGGCCAAGCCATATAACGACAACTTGAGTGTCGCGAGGAAAAAACTGGGAAAAAAACAAAGAGGAATGGGTATCCTCAATACGTTGAAACCGACCTACACCGACATATGAGTGTGTTGAAAAACTTCCCCCCAATTAGATCTCTTCAGATGTATGGAGCCAGATGGTCAATCGTTGGAACAATGACAATTGGAGGGTTGTTTCTGGTGTGACACGTGAGAACCGTGATAGCCAAGTTGGCGCTACACACCGGTGGATCGATCCCATTATCGGAGCATTAGGCTCGTCTAGTAGGAACTAAAACCCATTACTTTAGTAGCTTGATTTTTTAATATGTTATAATTAACACATATTCATATTATTTGATCTTTGTAAACACAAGCAAAAGACGGCGTGTCAAACGACCATTTTGGAATTACTCGATTATACACATAAGAGGTCGAATGGAGAGATCGCATCTTTGGATTCTGAGGGGTACGTGACCTCTAAGTGTAGTCATGTCATAGTAAGTATCTATCTATTTTAATGTTTATAATTGGGTGCATAGTTATCTTTCTAGTTTGAGTTGCCATTAATTGTTGGGCAAACGTTTGAGTCGTTTAAATTAAAATCTAAGTATGTGTGTATGCGTGCGCATGTGTGTGTGTGTGTGTGTATATATATATCTAGTTTGAATTGTCATTTGTTGGGCAAACGATTAAGATTGTTTTGGCTACAAATATCGTATGTATCACTATTGTTTTGCCTGCAAATGCTCCATTTACAGCCTTCATGTTGTCAAAATTGATTTGTAATATTTTTTAAATCATATATAGGATGACTATTCAATGGGTCTCACCCAAAGATACGACAATGATCCCTCCACATATCCCTTAGTTGATATAAAGTTGTAGGAGCGACGACAGGCGAAGGAGGAGGAGCGCCGGCGGCTGTTGGATGAGAGACTAGATAAACAACTTGAAGATATGGCTGTTTTGGTCAGACAACTCAGTTAATCTCAACACTTTCCCCGCCACCGTGTAGAATATCGTCTGTTTGTTTGGAACAATTTAGTTTTTGTTTGAAACAACTGTGTGCTACTTTAAATTGGTCGGAATAATTGTTTTTTAGTTTAATATATGATATTTAGCGACATTTCATCTTTTTAACTTTTTTTTAAATATTTACAGATTTACAGGTTTTAAATATTTGCTGAAAAATTATTTTAAAATAAATATGAAATAAATTTATGGCGGATTACCATCGAAAATATCCGCGGAAATAATTATTTTAATTAAAGAATAAAAAAAATTATTTAAAAGAAAAAATCCAGCAGATTTCCGGCGATTATATCCGTCGGAAATAATTAAAGAATAAAAATAATTATTTTAAGAATAATTATTTCCGCGACCGTTTTCCGCCGGGGAAAAATAATCCGTCGGTAAATCCGTCGGAAAGTTAATCACCGGCGTCTCTTTTTCCGGCGGCTCTATTCGTCAGAAATTCTGTTTTCCGACGGATTTCCGATGGATAATGCCGCCAGAAATGTTGACCTGTTTGATAGTGAATTACTGGTCAAAATAAGTAAATATATATAGTTAAAATTTGTTATATTAATTTAACAAAACTTTATTATATTCTAATACATTTTCACCTTTTTACAACTTAAAATGTAACATTATATTTTTATAAATTCTCTATGTTGGATCGGACACTTTGGAAGCCTCTAAGTGGCTTTAGAGGGAAAGAAAGCAACAAGCGATAATTACATACAAAATTCGACATAAAACGTCGAGAAAAGACGAAAATGCCCATATGAAATCATGGTATTGACAAAAATACCCATGTGGGTTCATGGGTTTTGGTCTATGGAATGAGTATTGAAGACATGAGTGTTGGACACACACACACACCCCATTCTTGTATGCATGCTTTGCTTCTGTCTCACATACCATCATTTCTTGGACAATCTTTTTGTTCTTAAAGTTGCATCCATCTCATATGCCATATAACACACCATCTTACTTTTGCCAACCCCATTATGTATATAATATTTTGGGGCTGTTTACCAAACGCTTATCCGAGTAAGCGCTTACCAAGTAACATTATCTTTCCGTATGAATATGGTAAAGAACAAGAATCTTATCTGGTAAGAGCGAGACAAGGACCAAGAGTCTTACCCGGTAAGTGAGGGCGATGACTCTTACCACAGTAAGCGCTTACTAGGTAAATTGTTGCATACGATGTCGTTTTGGTGGACTAAAATCTTACTCGGTAAGTAAATAATAGTGTTAAATTTTATCGGTAAGCACTTACCGGGTAAGTGTTTGGTAAACGGCCCCTTTGTATTAAAATAATTATTGTGTAATAAAAAAAACCTCTACATGATTTATATAAACTATCTCATCCTTGTATACTGATAAGCAGAGTGAAAATAAATACTCCTTTCCGTCACAAATCGTGCCCACAGCCTTGCCTCCAATGTCCAATACGTGTCTTCAGTCCTGAAGGTTTTGGATTCGTCATTGTTCATAAGTCGTAACGTTCTTTCATTCCAGAAGATGACAAATACCATTCACATAAGAGTTGTTCTCTATGGTTTCTGAACTTGAATCTTCCTTAAGGTGCGTTTGTTTTCTAAGAAGTGTTGAAGTCTAAAGTTTTATTTCACTTTTGATTGATAAGAGGTGGTGCTGAAATCTGAATCAATAAGACTAGAGATGCTCAAAAACCCGACCAACCCAACCCAATCCAATGCGAAATAACTCAACCCGAAATAACTCGATGTCTAATCGTGTTGTAAAATTTTCAAACCGTATGTAGTGGGTTGATATTGGGTTACTATTATTTGAATCCACCCCGACCCGATGAACCCAATATCCTTTTATTTTTTGAATTTAATATGATTGTTGAGTTTATATTAACATGTACATTAGATAATTACATTATCATGTACTCTTTTCATATACACATATTTTCAATCTATTCTCCATATCTATATAACTCATTCGTATATACGTTCAGTAACTGTGAACATATATATGCAAATTGAGAAAATTAATTGAATGTGGTATACATAAGATTTAAGAAGTATGAATAAGTTGTATCAAATAATTGATGATGAAAAAAAATTATGAGTAGATAAATAACATATTCGAGGTTAGGTGAATATTTTAATGTACCAAAGTATCAATCCGACCAACTCGTACGGTTTGGGTTGGGTTGGGTTGCACTTTGGTTTAGATTGGATTGAGTTACGATTTTTCAAACAACAAACATTGGGTTAAGTTGTTCAATTGTCTTCAACCCGATCAACCCAACCCATAAGCACTCTTAAATAAGACTGTTCTTTTTGTTAGCTGATTAATATGTCTGAATTTATTTAAATTGTATATTTTACCCCTAGAAAATTATAGTGTTGAATTTATAGATATACTTATACAATTTCACATATTTATTTCTCAACATTACAAAATTTACATCTAAATTTATATAATTAACATTTATTTAAACGAAAATATGGC